AAAAAGTTCCTTACAGTCTCTCAGAGTTACAGATAGGTAAGTGGCCAATCCTCAAAATGCTGCCTGTGGTGTACATGTATCACGGTTTCTATTTTGCAGTTAGGGAAACTGAGGCATGCATTTCAAGGATTTTCTTCTCTGAAGGTTTGTGGCAGAGTCCGCTATGACAAATAGGGAAATCTGTAAGCAAAAATCTACAAATTTACTGCAGTTATCCAATTCTGTATGATATTGATGTTAATGAAGGAGAAGGGGATATCCTGGTTCATTCCCTTGACTGTGAATGTTAGAGCTACTCAGTATGAATGATGAATAATAACACTGGCTTGGAGAAATCTTGTGAGGGAGCTACATTCAGATTCCTCCTGCAGTTGTAGATGTTTTTTAAACTGCTTATTTCCAGAATGCATTTCATCTACCACAAAGAGTAACATCTCTGAAGTAATGCATTATAGGTAAGTAAAAGTACAAAATAGCAGGATTTACACACAGAACTCATCACAAGCAAATGCAGAGCTTTGGCTTTCCTTTGGTTTTCTACCTTGTTAACACATTTGTTGCTGATGAGTTGAACGTTAGGATCTGTAGCAGAAATAATAAGAACACGTAATGAATAATTCATACTTTTGCCTGTTCTGGTGTTTGGGGAATTAATCTGTACCCTTGCAACTTTTTCTTTCTGTCATTGACCTTCCTAGACATCCAACAGCTCAGTCACAGTAGAATCATAGAATCATTAAGATTGGAAAAGACCACTAAGATCATTCAGACCAAACACCCATCCATCCCCACCATGCCCACACACCATCAGTGCCACATCTCCACATTTCTTGAACACCTCCAGGGATGGTGACTCCAACTACATGGGCAGACTGTGCCAATGCCTCACCACTCTTTCTGAGAAGAAATTTTTTCCAAATATACAACCTGAACCTCCCCTGGCGCAACATAAGGCCTTTGCCTCTCATCTGCTCACTAGTTACCTGGCAGAAAAGGTCAATCCCCTCAAAGACTGTCTCAGGATGTCAGATTCCCAGGAGACATTTCTCATTCAGACTCTTTGGGGAAACTCAAATGTCTTAGTCAGCTTCTGGCAATACCTAAGGCAAATTATCATTCAAGCATACAAAGCTATGGAGATCCCCAAGATTATTATAGCCATTATAATATTCCTGTATTTTTAATATTTTTTCTTCCCCTGAGCAAGAAGCACTCCCTCTTAATTTAGGGGCTTATGGGACTTGCATCACTGGCTTTGAAAGCAGCTGCAATCAAGCAGATGGGCATATCTAATATCTCCCAGAATGCAATTAACCACCAAGGGAATAATATTATTCTAGACATCTCCAGTAGTTTTCCTGTAGCAGTTCTCCTTTAAATTGAGCTGGAAATCTCTAATAGGTCTTCCATGCTAAAAGAAAGGCAGGAGGGAAGTCAAGAACAGCAGATAGTATTTCCTTTTAACGTTCTCAATAAGTAACTATTGTAATGAAAAAGCTGCATATTCTTGTGCAACTGGCTAAATAGAATTTGTATTTAGGGTATGTCTTTCAAACAAGACTCATGTCACCTTGAGGAAAGGGTTCTACAGTGTAGCAGTCTATCATTGAGTTAGCAACATGGATAAAATTTTTATCCAATGGAGAGAAATAGACACTTTTGTGACAGGACTCACCTCAGCATGAGGATGGAGGAAATTAGAGAATTCACAACTTTAAAGAGGTTATTTTTTTCCACATATGATAAAATGTTTTTCAGACAACTAGCTCAGAGGTGACTGCAGACTTCCAAATTCTGGAATGATCACTAAATAATTGTGACTTCAAAATCCATGAGTCACCAGTAAATCTCATACTGGTAGGAATCTTTGTCTTCACTGTCCACCATTATTAATTCCATTTAAAAGTAGTTAGACCATTTACACACACAAATATGTCTTCAGATATATAAAAGAGAACATGTATGCATATACACACATGGAGTCTCTCTTAATTCTTAAGGTTCACTTTGTTAAATTCTGCTTCATTTCAGAAAAAAATGGAAAAAAAATCTGCATAATTTTAATAATCTAAATTGAGATCTTTTGTACAATCATCCTCGTGCCCTCCTTCCACTTATAGATCTCTTTTTCTTTTCTTTGACTGTCTTCTTCAAGTTTTGATCTTGTCACCTTTTTTCTCCTTTATTCTCTACAATCTTTTACTTCCCTTTCCCTTTCCCTTTCCCTTTCCCTTTCCCTTTCCCTTTCCCTTTCCCTTTCCCTTTCCCTTTCCTTTTCCCTCCATTTTCCCTTTCCCCTTCCTTTCTTGGAAGGGCATATTTTCCTCTCCTCAGTTGTCTTATTTTGAATTCAGTTTTTTCAGGTCATTTCCTCTGCCTTTTCACCATGCTCTGTTTTCTAAGTAAGTTCTTCCTCTCCCTCTTTATTCTCTTACTTCTTGGTACCTTTCACCAAGACTCTGACAGAAGCACTTCATCATAAATCTCTCCCAATCCTACCCCTGCCTGTTATTGCTATTACAGAAGAAGCAACGTAGTAAGGCTTGAGATTCCATCTACGCTGGGCAATTACTATCCCAGCTGTTCTCAGTAACCTGCATGCTCTGTGCAATTTAGATGTTTATACTAAGCATATTTTTTTATCATGCTGCACAGTTTTAAAACACAACATAATCAAATACAAAACATGAACTTCCACGGATAGAGATGCTGAATCAAAGAGAAGGCAATCTTCATTAAATCGAAGAGTTAGTGCACTTCAGGAGATGATACTTGGTCTAACATGATTAGGACACCTTATTCTTTGCTGAATAACTGAAAATATATTAAGTAAGAATATTGTCTGTTCCCTGGAGGCATTCAAGGCCAGGCTGGATGGGGCTCTGAACAACCTAGTCTAGTGAGAGGTGTCTCTGTCTGTAGCAGAGGGGGTTGAAACTGATGGTCTGAAAGGTCCCTTCCAACCCAAACCTTTTTATGGTTCTATGATTCTATGAAGGGAAAAGAAGTACATATTTTGAGGATAAATATTAAACCCACTTAGATTCTTTGAGGGACTTACAAAAGAACAACTGTTAGGCTAATGCATTTTGCCAAGGGTAGGTTCCCTTTGATGCATGTAACCTGAAATGTAGAACAAGCATAGAGAAATTAATTCCTTAAAAGGTATGCATCAAGAAAGCATTTAGAGCAAGTTTGCAAGATAAGGGGAGACAAAGACTTTTCTGATTTAATTATGGGTGAGAAAAGTAAGATTGTTATTTATTTCTTCACTTTTGTCTGCAGCAATATTTATTTCTATACAATCCACTTGTAACCAGTAACCAGTTTTATTCTTCTCCCAGGGTAAAAGTGCTTTAGAAAGGAAACAAGTATCTTATCATGATATGGTAGTAGGAAAGTTGCCTGACATGTAAGAAGACACAATGGAGCACAACTAAACCAGAAGAGACCTACATCAGCTTTGTAAGAGTGCCCCTAGAGTTTCTTTGCACCACACATCTTATCCAATTTCCGTGCATCCCAGTCCTATTTTCAGATTCATCTCAGCCTTCCACAACTATCTAGCCATGCTCCTATGAGCCCTTGAGACCTTCTGAATGTTGTTCTTCCCACTACACATGTGCCTCTTTTTTTACTACTGAGAATTCAAACCCTTTCTTGCTAATTCCTCTGCACAGAGCAATGAAACCCTTCAAACTGACAAAATTCCACATCTAGTAGTAAGCAAGATTATCAGAAGCTATCTAAAAGGTGCATGCTCCATGTCCACTTATATCAACCCAGTTTGAACTGAAATTCAGCTGAGACAGTCGCAGAGGTACAAATGTGCCCACACAGAGATACACACACAAAAAAATAACAGCCTTACACTTCAGAAAGGATGTAGAAGAACTTAAAAAGCAGCTGCTGTACCCTGCTAAAAGCTTTCACATAAGTATCAGCCTGTGCTGATATTATTCAGCAAAAAAAGTCTAACAAAGACTATTCTATCTTCTCTGCTCTCTAGAGAAAACCTTTTGGTCTAGTGGTTGGCAACCTGCACATAGCAGGGGCTTGAAACTAGATGATCATTATGATACTTTTCAACCTTAGGCCATTCTATGATTCTGTGATATGAAATACCCTTAGTAATTTGGAATCAAAATGTAATCAAATTTAACCTTCAGTGTTGATGACAATGTATGAAGGATGACAGTTTTCTATTGCAAAAGAAAGTTTTTTTTCTTAATGGGAGATAAGACTTGGCAGTTATTAATTCTGCTTTAAGAAAAACAGAAAAAGACATATCACCAAGAGAGGCAAACACTTTCTTCAGGTATAATGAGCGTTAAATTAGTTTAATGATCCAGTGTAATAGTACTTCGAATTCAAGAAAGGCATGTGGTATCCAGCTGGCCAAGAGATTTTGACTACGTGCCACTACAAATCTAAACTTGCATATAATGTCTGTGGAACCAGACCAAAACATGAACACATATTTCACTCCAGTGAAGTGCAAAATCTTTGTTTGGTTTCATGTTTTTGAGCTGATATTTCACATGCTGAGAATGACAATTAGCTGCCTGTTCAGCTGTCAGAACATGACCTTATTCCCTGCCCATTCTGGTCTTGACTGACCACTGAGATGCTGAAACTTCCATCTAATTTCTGACTTTCTGCTGCAAACAAACTGTAACTGAGATTTAGTAATTGGGAGAAGAGGTGGTTTTCCCTCAAGAGAGAAGCAAGATGTTTTGCAGTACAAAGACTACCATTTGATTAAATGAATAAAATGCTGTAGAAAAAAAAATTCCAGAGTGGTGAAAAAATTGAGATCATCACTCCAAAATTAAACCTGTTTTTTTGGTGTTGTTTTCTTTTGTTGTTTTTGTTGTTGCTTATTTGTTTATTTGTTTTAGCAGAGTTCTGATTTATGTAAATAAAATCTGGATGTAAAGTTCTTACTGGTGCATACTCTCTGTTCATAACGAGAACATGAAGTAATTGTAAAATGATACCTGTTTTGTTGCTCTTAATGCATTGCCACATGAGAGGACTCATCCACAATTTTGTCCCCTCAAGAGCCAGAGGTCCCTATTAATTTGTGCAGAGCAAAACTTTCAGTTTTTCTTCTTCATTTTCATAGAGCTGAAAAAGAAAAGAAAGGAATATCAACTTCTCATGATACATAGTCTTCATAGTGTACCTTACTTATGTTGTTACCACTTTTCCTCTATTTACCAAGTTCATAACAACTGGCAGATATAAACATTGTACTTCAGTGTAATTACAAACAAAGAAACAAACAAAAAAGGCTCTAATATTATTCATTATGAAAATGTGTGACTTAGTAAAAGAATCCACTTACCAGGAGCTTAATTCTGTAGACGGAGAAATGCCTTTGGTCCCTGTTACTTGGGCCAGGTGAATCATACTGCCTAATCTTTTGGGCATCCAAGGACATCGCATGCAACAGCCGCTGGCAGTGAAGTGTGGGAGATGGTTCCATGTCTGGTTGCTTTCTTTGTGAAGCTATCTTGAAAATGAAGAGATTTCTTTTGCTTTTTTTTTTTTTTTTTTTTTTTTTTAATCACCATCTTGCAAAAAGCACAGATGCAGCTATTGGCATGATTTTCCTCTCAGGGTATTGTTCTGTTAATGTAAGAGTGGATTTGGGATGTCTTTGATTTTCTTCCTGATCTCCTGTCTTTTACTCTTACTTAAATATTAATATAGTCAATGTCCAGAAGTAGACAACAAGAGTGAAAAGAGCAATGCTACCTCTTATTAGGATTTATCTACTTGGTTTATTTAAGTTCATCTTCTAGGTTTTCCATGAAGTATCACAAGTGTTTCAGCTAAAGACATGTTTAATTTCAGAGGTGTGTATGTGACATATTTCCTTTAATAAGACTTTTGAATATTAGAATCAATCAATCACATAGAAAAATCTGTCATTTATATGTTTGTGTTGACCAAATTGGCTAAATAAAATGTCTTGAGTACAGATGTACTGGGGGAAGAGTAGTCTGAGAAAGAAAGCAATGAAATAAATACAATGCACAGAAAACTTCCACAGATGTACAGAGCTGATCATTGTTACCATGTTTCTATGGAATCATTCACTTGCTGGCAAGCAAATTCATCTGCATGGCAAGCAAACCGTCACAATTATGATTATGCTAACGAATCCAATATGGAGAAGAACCTATTCCATTAAAAATGCTTACCTTCCCCTCATTCCTGCTCATGCACAGCAAGATACCTGCCCCATGCAGAGACAGAGAAAGACATCTACGCCCATTTAATTAATTTTCAATTATGGTGTTGGTCTTCTCTTTGAACTACATCCAGAAAGATTTGTGTATTCAAGTGATTCAGAACTAAACCCAGGGAAGTTTTAATTCATGGTAGGGCTACAAGTAAAACACGTCAAATGGAGTAGAGACCAGATGAGAAGCTGGCATCCTGCCTCAGAGGTAAGCAAACAACCTCTGGCTGTAAAGAAACTGACTCGATAAACACAAGGAGTTGGCTATTCCATCTCACAAGCTAACAGTTGAAGGATGGCAGAACATTTGTCTTGGTCAGGATGACATCAAATAGCACAGGAAGGCCTTGGGCAGGGGGCCAGGGCACAGCTTTCAGGGGTTCAGGAACACCAAAGAATGGAGACTGACTTTGCTTTGCTGCTTTTATCTCAGTGCACGGCTCTGTAACCTCATGGAAAACAGTGCTGTAGAGTCATACATGGCTTGGAATTTCATTTCCCAGCACTCAAAAACAGTGGTTAATTTCCTTGAGGATAACAGAGTTCTTTGAGATATTTATATGCACAGATGTACTTGGATTGGTCAAACATCACTGTGCCCACCCTCTTCTACATCTTCAGAGCTCACCTCTGCTGGTCTGTCATTGCTTGTGTTATATTGTCAGCTCCTTTAGCTACCACCATGGAAATTTGCTATCACGGGCTGTTGGGTGATCAGTATACTTTTATCATTTGCTTCAGCTCTTAATAGATTAAGAATCAGAGCAAGCTGATGATGCAAGGGCACTGGAGTCACAGAGACACCAGAGTAAATTTAAGAACTTTGCTCTTCCAGAATATTCTTAGATATTTCTGATGTGAAGGAGGTAAAATAAAGCAGATAAATTCACAGCAAAATTCATACTGTACATCAGTATCACCAATTTTCTAAGCAAACATAATGAGAAGCATTCACATTTTATCTTATTTGGAAATAGTGTGGAGTAGTGGATCAAAGTCAGTGAAGTTGGGTTAATTAGCATAGCTTAAAAGAGATTACTGAAAATTGCAATTTCAAAACTGAGGCAGAATGGAAAACTTGTGCTATTCCCTATGTAGCTCAGTGAGTAATACACATTGAAAGAAAGTAGGTACATATATCTCCATTCTCTCAAACAGGAAACTATTTGCCAGCTACTGCTTAGCTCAGCAATATATAAAATCCCTTTATGTATTCCCATAAGAGTTTGAAAAAATCCAAAATCTTTGCAGGGCTCCCTCTTTCAGTGTTACAACAGCCTTCCAACATACTGCTCTCTAGTATACAGTATGAAATAAAAGTGCATATAAAAAGTTTCCCTGGTTGGCACATTGACACAGTCAGAAGCCGGACTGAAATACTGAGCAATAGAATCATACAGTCACAGAATGACTTAGGTTGGAAAGTGCCTTAAAGATCATTGAGCTCCAACATCCTGCCATGGACAGGGTTGCCAACCACTAGATCAGAGTATACTGTTAGGGAGGTTAATTGATGTCACCCAATGGATGGACACACAGCAGTGTTCACATCTGGATTGGGAATAACTGTGAGAAGATGTATGAAAGAGAGGAGAAAAAAAACAGACAGTATGAGTCAGAAAGGCCAAGTTCTTCTGTTGTTTGATATGGATTGAGAGCATCCCTATGGAGAAGGTCTTAGGGGTCCTGATGGTCAAGATGGATATGAGCCAGCAGTGTGCGCTTGCAGCCAACATCATCCTGGGCTGCATCAACAGAGGGTGGTAGCCGGGAGAGGGAGATGACTGTCCACCTCTATTCTGCCCTTTTGAGGCTCCATCTGGAGTATTGTGTCCAGTTCTGGGGCCCTTAGCACAAGAAGGATGCAGACCTGTTGGATCGAGACCACTAAGATGAGGGCAGAAGCACCTCTCCTATGAGGAAAAGATGAGGAAGCTGGGTTTGTTCAGTTTGGAGGAGAGGAGGCTATGGGGAGATCTGATTGTGGCCTTCCAGTACTTAAAGGTGCATACGGGGAAGCTGGGGAGGCATGCTTTGTCAGGTGCTGTAGTGATAGGACAAGAGGAAACTTTTTAACTAGAAGAGAGAGGAGATTTAGATTAGATATTAGGAAGGAATTATTGATTCAGAGGGCAGCGACACACCCTGGTGCTGCCCAGAGAGCTGTGGGTGCCCCATCCCTGGAGGAGCTCAAGGCCAGGTTGGATGGGCCCTGGGCAGCATGAGCTGGTGGGGGCAACCAGCCCATGGCAGGGAGTTGGAACTGGAGGGGTTTTAAGGTCCATTTCAACCCAAACTGTTCTATGACTCTATCTGTAAAATGAGGCCAATGGCAGTACTCTTTCAAGAGACATCTGAGTGCTTTTTTTTGTGTGTAAAATAGTTAAAATTGGTCCGTCGTATAAAAATTCATGAATGGTATGAAAAAGGAAGGGGAAATAGATCAGCATATGCCCTGCCAGTAAGATTCACGAGCGCTGTTTTTATGAGAAAACAAGCAAAAATTTGTATTCTGCTTAATTCACTGCTTCATCTCGTCTTAAAATGGGAAAACACTTATGCTTTCAGAGTTGATGTTTCTTTTGCTAACATACCAGGCCTTGTGCAAGAATTTCAGTTTCAGTGAAGATTTGCAGGGAAGAAAAACCACAATCAGCTGTAAGCAGAGGCAGCTGCCTGCTAGCATCACACCCAAGAAGATATTTGGGTCCTTGGGGTACTTCCTGGAATTCCAGACAATGCCCCATACAAAATCAATGACCTGCTACTGACTGCAAGAAATGAAAAACAGAAACAAGAAAACCACGCCCAATTAAATGGAAAAAAAAAGAATCATGGTGAAAAGAAATGGGTTCCAGCATTATGAGTAATTTTGGTGCCGATGAATTTAGTGCCAAAGGTAACATCTTATATAAATATTTTTATCTACACATCAGATCCATTTCCCTTTTGCTACCCTGTCCATGTCTCCATTTAAGCGAGAGAAATTGGAAAAGCATAAATTCACTACCATGACTCAGGAGTGATATTTCTGTTACCTGATACATCATTTGGATCCTTCAAATGGTGAAAAACAATATAGCATTATTCGGACCAAAGATGCATTTGATGATGTTGCAGTCTGTAACTGCCTTTTTTACATAAATCAATACAAGAGGGATTATTTTAAGCAATGCACTCCCTAGCTCCCATAAAAGACTTGCCTGATCTTGCTCTCACTTACAAAACCTGCCTCAGCTTCACTCTTAGAACTTCACTATAATAAAACCATTATTGCTGCTATTCAAAATGCCCATTGAGTCACCACACTGTAAATAAGAAAGATATATATGTGCACATGGGATTTTTTATAACTGGCAATATTTTTGCAAAATGCTCAATGGCACTTCTTTCCTTAAGATACTGTATCACATAACCTTTCCATTTTGTATTTGCTATATAAGAATGCACATTTTCTACTTCATTAAGAAACGAAGAAGGCATTTACATTATCTATTGTGTTTTAATGAGCAGATGTCAGTAAAAAACTGCATGGTAGCACAAATCTCCATAGAACCAATTGTTCTTTCCAAACACTCTGAATACTGCCCTTATCTTTATGAGCAAGGAGTCAACCTGAGAGCTATTCTGCAGTTTCCACACTGGGAGTTTCACAGGCTTATCTCAAGAAATTCATAACTTCTGTCTGCCAAGACCTTTTTTTTTTTTTTCTGATAGAGAATGACATAATCATGGAGTAATTGAGATTGGAGAGGACCTCAAAAGGACCCTCTACTCCAACCAGCTCAAGAGGGCCATTCCCAGTCAGGTTTTGAGTATCTCCAAGGACCCAGATACACAGAACTTGAGGCTGACACAAAGACTGCAAAATCACTGACTTTCACGGCTGACCAGAGAAGCAAGCAAAGACAAGAAAATACTTACAAAATTTATGGCTGAAATTACAGCATTTGCAACTTAGTAGAATACAATCTTATCCAGCAAGACTCCAGAAATGGCCAAGAAATCAGAGAATACATTTGAACATAATTAGCCTATTGGACTAATTTGACCTTACGATTCACAATGTACATGAGCACTACTCATTAAATAGTTTTAATATTTAAAAAAAAAAAAAAAAAAAAAAAAGTGAAGACTTTTTAAAGTATAAATCTGTTTTCTTGCTCGCTTTCACTATCTAAGTAGGAACTAAAGGCTGCAGTCTTCAACCGTACTTACAAGAATCCCAAAGGTGGCTAATAGAATCACTGCTGACTGAATATTCCA